GTAGGCGTGATCTGTAGTGTTCGTCGTCCTCGGCAGCAATCACATTGGCACAAGCTGTTGATGCTGTGAACTGCCATGGAATATTCCGATTACCTCACCAGTCTGGGGCTTTTCGCGGACCACGGCAGCCATGCGTTAATTTGCTGCCACCAAAAGTGCAAGCGGGCCATACCCAAGATGGCACGGCTAGGCACCCCACCAAACACAAAGTATTCGTGATAGGGCTTATCATGCTAAGGTATATGTCAGACAATTAAGGGGTCACAAAAGATCGAGTATAATGGCGCCGTGGGCGCCAGTTGTATTGAATGAGAGTTATCTGAAGTCTAAAGGAAACCGTGAACTTGTGCAGCTCGGACGTAGCTATTTATGCATCACAGAGCTGTCTGTTTAGTCCAGCCTCGTCTAAGAATGCAGCCACTCTTGGGAATGTTGTTGAAGTTTATCAAGAGGCTGATATGTCGTATTATAATTCAGGGTAGGCCGTATATGCGACGGTATACCTAGTGGTGCGACCCCAACGTAGACTGACGAGAACTGTGCTGCGAGAATTCTGTCCTCCGGCATGGTCCACGAATCAACCAGAAAGAGGTCTCCGCATCCTGGACTCAAAAGCCAATGTACATAGTTGAGCGCCCAGACCAAGGAACCACTGAGGGATATAACAATGAAGGGAACATCGTAATCGTGATGAGCCATGTGATCGGAAATGGACGATCCCAAGTCTGCCTGTCGGCATTGCCTACACATCTGAAGTGCTTGTATCTGCCGGCTCTGGCTACATCGCCGATCTCATACTAATGTTAATAATGAGAATCGTTGCATGTTTTTGGCCCTCACGAACCACATAGGGAAGGTAGATGGGCCGGCCCGCTTCTCGACAATCCGTCTTTAAACTAGAATAAAACGACTACACGAGAAGTTACAAGAAATTATTCTAAATATACCGATTAAGAACGCTGTTAGTTATCTCCTTTTTTTCTTTTTTCTTTTGGGTCTATCATCATTGTTGTTTGGTGGTGCGCCCTGAAAGCCAAACCATGGAGAACTTCACCTAGGTAGACGTCAGGAGGGGCTTGCTCCGGTTTGAGCCTTGCTGCGGCGGGGCATGATTGGTAAGGCGGAAGGGGACTTTAAGAGGTAGTTACCTGGCGCTGGTAAATGGCCCCACCAGAAGTAGCCGCGAGGTCTTAAAGCGGCGCTGGATTTTGGGCATATTGTCCACCAGCCTTGGTTGGTAAAACACCACAACTGGTGGTGTAATCGCGGTCTCATTGTTTAAGCAAGCTATTGTTCGTTTCGCTTCAGTAGAACAGGCCCCATACGGTAGAGGCAAAAGCAGCCAATCTCTTCCAGGCCCATTATTCTGCAAATATGCACAGCTAGCGCAAGCTACCTTAAGACAACTTCCTCCACAAGGAACCGTTAAAGAAACGCTGGCCGATGACCACTGAAGGCACTTGAAAGTGCGACGGATATCCTCAGCCCACATGGTCACGCTACATGGTCACAGGCCCCTCAGGGTACCGTTTTTCCGTCGCTTAGTCGAATCCTGGATTTCAGCCAACTTGTCACGCAAACTCGGGAAAGTGCGCATCAGCTGCCAGCCTGAGAAAAGCGTATCCTCTCCAGCGACATCCTGCGTCAAGGCCACCAGATCTAGTGACGACATCCGCTGAGCGGGGTTGATCTCCAGCATTGAGCCAAGGATCTCTGCGCTCCGTCCAGACAAGCGCTCTACCGCGCTGTTTACCCTCCTCCTCCAACCCATCATCTGCAGCAAGTACTGCTCGCTAGCCAAGGCGTCTTCGGTGCTGCTTGAGTAAGCCCAGCATTGCCCTTCCGGCAGAGGAATCTTCCCGAGGACATACAAGAGAACAACCCCGAGAGCATAACTGTCCATCTGGGGACCGGGCTTCTCCCCAGGAGTTCTTAATCCGGGTATGGCCTCAGGGGTGGTATATCCGGGGCGCCCATAGGTGTCCGGAATTTGATCCTCCTTCACAGCACAGCTAAAGTCGCTAACGACAAATCTGTCTGCCATTGGATTGTACATAATGGCAGTTGATGAAATGTTGAAGTGCGTTGAGCCTAGCTCGCGATGAAGGAAAACAACGCCCGGCGGAATGTCCCTGAGGACGTTGCAGAAGGTCTCGCGATCTCCAGCAAAGTAGTGGTGTCCGTCTGCCGTTAGCTGCGCCTCGCAAATTAATTTCGGGAATGCATACTCTGTAATGACTGAGAACCAGCGAGCATCGGAAGTCAGCATTTGAGCAATTGAGGGCTAGCCAAGGTGTATTAGTATTTGCAACGTCGCACCAGTGCAGGGAATCTCACGTGTGGTCCATTCCGTCTCCTCAAAATGGCTCTGTGGATGCCATTATGGCGCTGCCACATTCTCTCAATTTTCTTTATAGGAATAGTTTCGCATTCTGATAGTTCCCATATTGTCACCGGCCCAAAATTCGAGTGAGTCGCATTCCATAGACGCATGTTTTTCGTTTGCCACATTTCTGCTGCGTGGGAGCGCAAGACGTAGGACTCCCGACCATCCAATCGACCAAGAGCACATCGCCTTGGTCTAATTTGGATGCTACGGCCGTGTTTGTATGTTGAGTTTACCGAAACGGGATCGTGTGTAGACGGGAATAAAACGCGGATATTGTAAGCTATAACAAGAGGGTCCGCAACCATCAGAGAGCCGCTAACATATGTATGGACGGGCGCGACTCCGCGGTGCGCGAGGTCGCAAGTACGGTCCCGGCCGCAAGCTGGAGATCTTTGGTCTTCCGTTCGACGTCTTTTCCTGTCCACTGTAAATTCATGGGCAGTCGGGAATACATATCCATCGACCCACGTGCCTTCCTCTCCAAGGTCCGGATGTGATGTTCTGTGTACTATCGGGACAAAACGGGCCTCGGTTTTCGACGTCAAGCTTTCCGTTGTCATTCGGAGTGCATTCGAGAGATGCGTCTCCTACGTTCTCCAACGTGACACAGTTGGCCTGTTTGTGGAAATAGCCTTTGCACGAAATGTCGCGGAGTTTGAAGTAGAATGAGGAGATCTTTGATGCTTGGTGTACAAACCAGTAAGTCTTTCCCTTACTTGTTCGGCATCCCTTACTTGTTCGGCATCCAAAGGAAGCAGCAGACCCGACTCACTAGCGGCCAAAGCAACTCGAGCATTGGGCGGCGTGTCAAGCTTCAGCGATTCTATGGCGTATGCAAGTTGCGATAGATGACTGCGACTTTCGTCCTCAGGTTCGATGTCGCCACTACGACTTTGGCTCATTCCGTCTTCACTAAGAGAATGTGGAGGTGGCTGAGATTGTGCATGCACTTTCCTGTACTCCACGAAGGGATTCTCCGGCCTTGATGCGTCGTTGTAGATGTCAAAGTTTACGAGCGAGTCAGAAACAGCCGTTTCGCCGCTGTTGACCACATTGTCGTCCACATATATGTCGAAATCCTTCTTGCATTTCAGCGACGAGGTTTTGTGTAGCATCATACCGGAGCCCAGAAAAAGTGGAATGAATCGTAGTCCCGATCAAGATAGAATGGTTATCCAACGACCGACACGCATGGATGCCAGCTCTTAATAAACGTACGTATGGTACGACTGGTGGCCATCTCTTGTCGGGTTCTTTGGGGGACGGACTGCTTCTCTAGATAAAAGGGGACCTTTTCTTTCCTCGGTGAACTATTATTAGGTCAGCGCGTAGATGCATATGGTACCTGTCACCTGTTGCAGTACTGTAAGCGCGCGCTTATCATCGTGGACTTGGAAGTCAAATAACTCCCACGGCCCGGCCCCTTTCTCTTGCAAAGACACCTTGCCTAGATAAGCACCTTAGCACCATGGATGTACCAACGAACAAAATCTCTTTCCCTCACGACAAATTCGGCAAGAATGAAGGGGACGAGGAGGAGTTCGACCGATACAACAAGATGGAAGTGCCAATCGTTGACGACGCTCATTTCCGCCGGATGCTCAGCACTTGTGCTGTAGAGGCCAAAGACTGGGCCCAACTCCACGACCTAGTCGCAGACAGGATGGGCGTCGAAATAAAAAAGGCCGCGGAACGGGCGGTAGCGATGAATCGAATCTTCATGGACGACGAAAATTACCCTCCTACAGCTCTCATCTTGTTCAGAAGTGTGACAGCCGTCAAGGGGTCACTGCATGGACGCCACAACGCGGTCATGGCCGCGGTGGGGTACAGGTCTCAAAGTCAAAGCCCGTTCGTGTGTAAGTATATGGTGCATCCTAACAATAGACGGCACTAATGGAACATTAGATAAACCCTCTGCAGGCAAGGGTGCGGCAGAGCGGCAGAGAGTTGTAATAGCAAAGCAGTCTGGTCCGCCCTCTACGACCCAGGCCGGCAAGAAAGGCTCACCACGGTCAGCACCAGGATCGCGCCAAACCCCTCGCCAGACGAAAGGGGGTGGCAAGCCAAGGAAATCGAATCCAGCCACTCGGCGCAAGCCAAGTCCAGAGTCCATGCCCCGCCGCAGCCCACGGCTCGCTCAGCGATGAAGCTGGCTACACATCACGACCACCTCCTAAATATGGATGATACATGCGTCATAAGAATCAACGCTACAATAATGCTCAAAGTTTTATCAAGTTTTAATTCTTACTCTCTGGTGAAATTGCTGCAGCTCGTGAGGCTGCAGGTAGATATGTCAACGGCGGATTTGGGGTTGAGGTTGGGCGGGCGGTTGCGTGGATTTGCGGGCAAGTGCTAACATGTAGCGGCAATTCAACAAGGATTAGTAGCGCCAAACTTGGATGCACATGCAGGGAAATACTCTTTTCGAATCCAGATAGACTGAGTTAATAATGGATAACTAGCTAGTTTACTCATTTTATCGACATATCAGGCTCCGCTCGGAAGGTGCGCATGTGTTCAAGCTGTTAATAAGTGAGTGTCGGGTGAAGGGATACCCTACAACCCCCTACTAAATTACACCATGTAGGCAGCCTTCGACACAACCATGTGCAACAGGCTTGTCCTGAGGCTCCGTGAGCAAGGCTGGCCGGACTATCTTGCGCGGTGGGCAGGCTCGTTCATGAGCGGCCGCTCCGCCAGAGTCAGGTACCAAGACATCACGACACCGACGACGCCATTACAGTGCGGTCTTCCACAGGGATCGCCCGTGTCTCCGATCTTGTTTTTGCTCTACACGGAACCGATCTATCGGCTAGGCAATCCCGAAGGACGGTTCGGGTACGCGGACGATACCGCCATTCTCTGCACTGGACCATCGCTGGAAGAAACATCGCGAACAGCGTCGGAATATCTCCAAGAACTCGTGAACTGGGGCGCCGCCAACGGCATTTCATTCGACCCGAAGAAGACAGAAGTCATGCACTTCTCACCGAGGAGGCGGGAAACCGAGCCACCTGTCCGCCATGGTGACGCGGAGAAGCAACCAGAGGCAGCCATGCGCTGGCTAGGCCTCTGGCTGGACAGGAAGTTGACATTCAAGACACATGTCGAGACGTGGACAGCCAAGGCCCAGGCGGTCGCCCACCACCTCCGAAGCCTAGGGAACACCCGACGCGGCGCCCTGCCGAGCGCTGTGCAGAGGGCTGTCAGAGCCTGTGTCGAGCCGATTCTGCTCTTCGGTGTGGAAGCGTGGTACCCAGGTCCAACGTTGCCGCGCTGGAGACGGCCGACGAAGGAAGGACCATCTAGAATCCAGCAGCTTGTGCGGAAAATGACCAAAGCTCTCAAGCAGGCCATTCGAGCCATTCTTCCAACCTGGAAGACCACACCGATCGCCGTGTTGCACCGGGAAAGCGGCATACCTCCCGTCCACCAACTCCTGGAGGCATGACGTCTCCGCTTCTCTGCCCGCATCAAATCACTAGACCACGCACACCCTCTGGCCAAACGCACCACCGAGGCAGCGCCACGGCCCATCATCAAGTGTATCAAGTTGAAGTACCAGCTCCCGCCAAAGACCTTTCCAACCCGGTTGAGGAGGACGAACAGGCTGCTGGAGAATTGCCAACGCCCCGTACTCATCCCGCGTAAATACAGCCACGAACCACAGCAGCCTCTCCAAACTGCATCCAAAGAAGAGTCCGCCAAAGACTTCGACCGATGGCTTCAAACGGTCCCAGCGCTTAGTCTTATCGTGTATTCTGACGGCTCGCTGTCCTCTAGCGGTGCCGCCGGATACGGCTATGCTGTTCATCAAAACAGACGCTCTGTTTGCCAAGGCGCAGGACGCCTCGGCCCTGCGGAGGTTTTCGACGCTGAGGCTAAAGGAGCGCTGGAGGGCCTCAAAGCCACTCTTAGGCTTCCTCAGTGTGCCACACAACGAATAGTGGTATGCCTGGACAACATCGCAGCTGCCAAATGCTTACGAGGCAAGCCATCAGACTCGTCGCAGAGGGTCTTCCTGACCTTTCAGGCCCTAGCAAAGACGCACCGAAAGACCGAAGTCCGCTGGATACCCGGACACACCAAGATTCCAGGAAATGAACAAGCCGACATCTTGGCGAGGACGGGATGCGCCCAACCCGAACCCGCAGACGCAGTCCCAACACTGGCTTTCTTGCGAAAGACCGCCAGACAGCGGTCGAAGACCGTAGTGCAAGCCTGGTGGGATGCTTCTGCACCCGACAAGTATCAGAGTCTGACCCTCAAGTTCCCTTCTAGCTGTCCTCCGGAG